CACCACTATAACCACCACCATCACCACCACCAAGACCCCAGTCACTACTGTCATCACCACCACTATAACCACCACCATCACCACCATCGAGACCCCAGTCACTACCGTCATCATCACCACCACTATAACCACCACCATCACCACCATCAAGATCCCAGTCACTACTGTCATCATCACCACCACTATAACCACCACCATCACCACCATCAAGACCCCAGTCACTACTGTCATCACCACCACCACTATAACCACCACCATCACCACCAAGACCCCAGTCACTACCGTCATCATCACCACCACTATAACCACCACCATCACCACCACCAAGACCCCAGTCACTACCGTCATCATCCCCACCACTATAACCACCACCATCACCACCACCAAGACCCCAGTCACTACCGTCATCATCACCACCACTATAACCACCACCATCACCACCACCAAGACCCCAGTCACTACCGTCATCATCACCACCACTATAACCACCACCATCACCACCACCAAGACCCCAGTCACTACCGTCATCATCACCACCACTATAACCACCACCATCACCACCATCAAGACCCCAGTCACTACTGTCATCACCACCACTATAACCACCACCATCACCACCACCAAGATCCCAGTCACTACCATCATCATCACCACCACTATAACCACCACCATCACCACCAAGACCCCAGTCACTACCGTCATCATCACCACCACTATAACCACCACCATCACCACCAAGACCCCAGTCACTACCGTCATCATCACCACCACTATTACCACCACCATCACCACCAAGACCCCAGTCACTACCGTCATCATCACCACCACCATAACCACCACCATCACCACCACCAAGACCCCAGTCACTACCGTCATCATCACCACCACTATAACCACCACCATCACCACCACCAAGACCCCAGTCACTACCATCATCATCACCACCGCTATAACCACCACCATCACCACCACCAAGACCCCAGTCACTACCGTCATCATCACCACCACTATAAGCACCACCATCACCACCACCAAGACCCCAGTCACTACTGCCATCATCACCACCACTATAACCACCACCATCACCACCACTAAGATCCCAGTCACTACCGTCATCATCACCACCACTATAACCACCACCATCACCACCACCAAGACCCCAGTCACTACTGTCATCACCACCACTATAACCACCACCATCACCACCAAGACCCCAGTCACTACCGTCATCATCACCACCACTATAACCACCACCATCACCACCACTAAGATCCCAGTCACTACCGTCATCATCACCACCACTATAAACACCACCATCACCACCAAGACCCCAGTCACTACCATCATCATCACCACCACTATAACCACCACCATCACCACCATCAAGACCCCAGTCACTACTGTCATCATCACCACCACTATAACCACCATCATCACCACCACTAAGATCCCAGTCACTACCGTCATCATCACCACCACTATAACCACCACCATCACCACCACCAAGACCCCAGTCACTACCGTCATCATCACCACCACTATAACCACCACCATCACCACCATCAAGATCCCAGTCACTACTGTCATCATCACCACCACTATAACCACCACCATCACCACCATCAAGACCCCAGTCACTACTGTCATCACCACCACCACTATAACGACCACCATCACCACCATCAAGACCCCAGTCACTACCGTCATCATCACCACCACTATAACCACCACCATCACCACCACCAAGACCCCAGTCACTACCGTCATCATCACCACCACTATAACCACCACCATCACCACCACCAAGACCCCAGTCACTACTGTCATCACCACCACTATAACCACCACCATCACCACCATCAAGACCCCAGTCACTACCGTCATCATCACCACCACTATAACCACCACCATCATCACCATCAAGACCTCAGTCACTACTGTCATCACCACCACTATAACCACCACCATCACCACCATCAAGACCCCAGTCACTACCGTCATCATCACCACCACTATAACCACCACCATCACCACCATCAAGACCCCAGTCACTACCGTCATCACCACCACCACTATAACCACCACCATCACCACCACCAAGACCCCAGTCACTACTGTCATCACCACCACTATAACCACCACCATCACCACCACCAAGACCCCAGTCACTACCGTCATCATCACCACCACTATAACCACAACCATCATCACCACCAAGACCTCAGTCATTACCGTCATCATCACCACCACTATTACCACCACCATCACCACCAAGACCCCAGTCACTACCGTCATCATCACCACCACTATAACCACCACCATCACCACCACCAAGACCCCAGTCACTACTGTCATCACCACCACTATAACCACCACCATCACCACCACCAAGACCCCAGTCACTACCGTCATCATCACCACCACTATAACCACCACCATCATCACCACCAAGACCCCAGTCACTACCGTCATCATCACCACCACTATTACCACCACCATCACCACCAAGACCCCAGTCACTACCGTCATCATCACCACCACTATAACCACCACCATCACCACCACCAAGACCCCAGTCACTACCGTCATCATCACCACCACTATAACCACCACCATCACCACCATCAAGACCCCAGTCACTACCGTCATCATCACCACCACTATAACCACCACCATCACCACCACTAAGATCCCAGTCACTACCGTCATCATCACCACCACTATAACCACCACCATCACCACCACCAAGACCCCAGTCACTACCGTCATCATCACCACCACTATAACCACCACCATCACCACCATCAAGACCCCAGTCACTACCGTCATCATCACCACCACTATAACCACCACCATCACCACCATCAAGACCCCAGTCACTACCGTCATCACCACCACCACTATAACCACCACCATCACCAAGACCCCAGTCACTACTGTCATCACCACCACCACTATAACCACCACCATCACCACCAAGACCCCAGTCACTACTGTCATCATCACCACCACTATAATCACCACCATCACCACCACCATCACCACCACTATAATCACCACCACCATCAAAATCACCATTACCACAATTCACTACCATCATCACCACCATTATTACCACCACCACCACCATTATTCACCAGGGGTGCCAAGCTCCTATCATTCGGGACCCACCACACAGCACCAGATGGGCCTGGAGAGGTTCTAAGGGATGGATCCAGAAATACTTTAAGCAGTGAGATCATCTTCGCTCCTACTGCAAGGGTAAGTTTAGGACAGCCTGACACAAATCCCAGAGAATCACTGACCATTTTCAGACCATGTCGAAAGCCGGGAAGGAAACAGTGTGTCGCGCCCAGAGCCAGGGGGCCTGGTACACGCCAGCCTTATGGCTCGCTGCTCACTGAGTTCGGGAGGGCTGTGCCCGGCGCCGAACGTGGGCGCTGGGGGACGTGTGCAGAGGGAGCGAGGGTGGTGCGCAGAGCAGCCTCAACTTTGACTCTGCGCCGTACTTGATGGCAAAGACTGGGTGCACACTATCATCGCATCTTACCAGACCCTCACCCAGAACTTTTGCTCCTAAGATTTACCGATGAAGAACTCTTGTGATCAGCTGATCACAGATGAACATGCAGTTGGTGGGTGATTGCCAGACCCACATAAAGACCCCTTAAACAGGTGCACCGTGCATTCCTTTCCTCTCTTCAGGGCTCATGCTTAAGTCATTTTGGCCAAAAACATACTAAGAGCTTTAAAATTATCACCTCTTTTTGAACTGGAAATCCCACCTCTAGGAATTTATCCCAAGCAGATCATGGATCCTCAAAAAAATTAACCGTAAGATTGTTCATCAGAGTTCCTTATTGTTGTTTAGTCACTAAGTTGTCTCTGAATCTCTGTGACCCTATGGACCCCATGGAGCCCGCCAGGCTCCTCTGTCCATGGGATTTCCCAGGAAAGAATACTGGAGTGGGTAGCCATTTCCTCCTCCAGGGGATCTTCCCATCCCAGGGATCGAACTCGAGTCTCCTGTAAAGGCGGATTCTTTACCACTGAGTCACCAGGGAAGCCCTATCAGAGTTGCTTATACAGAGGGAAAAATGAAGAAAATTTTTGCGCTTGTTGTCCCGAGTGGATAGGTGGGGCATCAGTCCTCGAGGCCAGCCCACAAAGGAGCAGGAGGCTGGTATGGACTCCCAGCCTGGCTGCCTCAGGGGAACTGCTGCAGAGACAGGAGGCCTGGCAGAGCGGGGGGCGCCAGCAGCAGCCAGCGGCAAAGCTCTGGCCTAGACCCTCTGCTCTTCTGGACCACCTGGGCTTGGACATGCCAAGGTGCACACTACACATCCCCTGCAGGTGCGCACTCCACCCTGCCGTGCCAGCCCTGCTGAGGAGGTGGAGGAAGGGCCCAGGGTTGGTGTCCTGCCCTTAAACTTGTGTGACCTTGGGCAAGTCCCTGCCCCCACCCCCCAACCAGCCTCCTTCAGTTCAGTTCAGTTCAGTTCAGTCCTCAGTCGTGTCCGACTCTTTGAGACCCCAGGGACTACAGCACGCCAGGCCTCCCTGTCCATCTCCAACTCCCGGAGCTTGCTCAAGCTCATGTCCAGTGAGTCGGTGATGCCATCCAGCCTCCTTATCCTTGGCTATAAAGAGGGGTCATCGGTCCCTCTTTGCTGAGTTGGTGGGCAGTTAAATAAGATGACAATTATGCTTGGCACCATGTTCACGTAAATGGGGAGTATGGTTGTGGTTGCTGGTGGAATAATCATGAGCATTCCTTCCCCATCAAGGTGGAAGAGTTGAGTCTCCAGGGAACCCCAAGGAGCCTCATACCACCCCCACGTCTCCCCCCACAGCCCCTCGCAACCCCTGGATCTGCCTCCCTGACTGCTGGCAGACAGGAACCTGGCTGTCACATGAGAAAGCCTTCCTCTAAGTGGGAGGAGATCTGTGTACGTTTGGGGCACTAGCCCCACTGGAGTGCCTCAGGCACGGCCTCTTACCTGCTTTATCACGCATTTTGCTTTGGTTTTTGTCTCCTCTACCACCAGGTTCACCCCCAAAGCCCCAGGATTCAGCCAGTCCAAGATCTACCAGCAAAAGAGAAGCTTTCAGGAAAACATATACATCTTTGCACTTCCCAAAGTGTGCCCACCTCCAGTGTCTTTTCCGGTCCTCCTAACTTTCTTCGTGGGCTAGCAAAGAAGGAAGTGACCCAGAAGGGTGAGGAGGCCTGCAAAGGCAGAACCTGAGCCCATCTCTCAGGGGCCGACTCTGGAGCTCTGTCCACCCCCCAGGCCCCTTCTCCAATCTGTGGTTAGGACCAGCCAGGCATCCGAGAGCCAGCACCTCCCTAGGGCAGAGGGTTTCTTCACTCACTAGTCCCTTAGGATCCCAACTTTCAGCGGCCACCTCCAAACTGGGCCACCAAATAAGAAAATAACTGGTCCACAACTGGTGCAATCATAAGCCATGACCCCATGGGAACCTGGCACGTGCCAAGCGCTTTACAGCCACCCACACAGTTGGCACTGTTGCCATCTCCTCGTTTCCACTGGAGGAAACTGAGACACTGGGAGCTGGGTCCTTGCCCAAGGCTACAGCACTAATACCTCAGAGGGCCTGGCTTGGGCTGGAAGTCGGGGGTCTGACTCCAGAGATGGTGCATGAACACATGAGGCTGAGTGACACGAGTACATTCATCAGAGGATGAAGGAAAGGGTGCTGCAGGATGCAGAGGAGTTTGTCCAGGCGGTGGGGCCCTCAGTCTAGGTACCCTCAGAGTCCAGAGAAGTTTTAGGGTTCTGTAACCCAGCACCTGTGGCCTGAAGCCTGCTCGGGGGTGACGGGGGCGGAGACCTGACCAGATCATGCCCGTGTAAGAAGGCTCACACTCAGGCACGCTCGGGGGGCAAATGAAACAGTAAAGTGCACTGGTGTCTCAGATCAAGGCTTTTTTTTTTCCTCTTAAAAAGTAACCTTGTTTTTAAAATTCTCTGGTCACCCAGAAGTGCATCCGCTTTACCACCAGCTCACTCTCCACCACACTCCCTCCCCGTCCCTCCCACACAAAGGGGATTCTCACAAAGTAAGGAAAACCTAACGTAATGAGTCACTGTCAGATTAACGAATCTTTTTTACAAAGATTGACTCTAACATTTAATAAAGTTGACATCTAATACATTTGGTAAGCATTCAAATGGCTGTCTGAGGAAGCCTTACAAATAGCTGTGAAAAGAAGAGAAGCGAAAGGGAAAAGAGAAAAGGGAAAGATAGAGCCATTGGAATGCAGAGCTCCAAACACTAGCAAGGAGAAGGAAGAAAGCCTTCCCAACTGATCAGTGCAAGGAAACAGAGGAAAACAATAGAATGGGAAAGACTGGAGATCTCTTCAAGAAAATGAGAGATACCGAGGAAACACTTCATGCAAAGGTGGGCACAATATAGGACAGAAACTGTATGGGCCTAACAGAAGCAGAAGATATTAAGGTGACAAGAATACACAGAAGAACTACATTAAAAAGATCTTAATGACCCAGATAATCACGATGGTGTGATCACTCATCTAGAGCCAGACATCCTGCAATGTGAAGTCAAGTGGGCCTTAGAAAGCATCACTATGAACAAAGCTAGTGGAGGTGATGGAATTCCAGTTGAGCTATTTCAAATCCTAAAAGATGACGCTGTGAAAGTGCTGCACTCAATATGCCAGCAAATTTGGAAAACTCAGCAGTGGCCACAGGACTGGAAAAGGTCAGTTCTCATTCCAATCCCAAAGCAAGGCAATGCCAAAGAATGTTCAGACTACCGCACAACTGCATATCACACACGCTAGCAAAGTGATGTTCAAAATTCTCCAAGCTAGGCTTCGACAGTATGTGAACCAAGAACTTTCAGATGTTCAAGCTGGATTTAGAAAAGGCAGAGGAACCAGAGATCAAATTGCCAACATTCGTTGGATCATCGAAAAAGCAAGAGAGTTCCAGAAAAACGTATACTTCTGCTTCATTGACTACACTAAAGGCTTTAACTGTGTGGATCACTACAAACTGAAAAATTACTCAAGAGATGGGAATACCAGATCACCTTACCTGCCTCCTGAGAAATCTATACAGGTCAAGAAGCAACAGTTAGAACCGGATTGGAACAATGAACTGGTTCCAAATTGAGAAAGGAGTACGTCAAGGCTGTATAGTATCACCCTGCTTATTTAACTTATACGCAGACTACATCATGAGAAACACTGGGCTGGAAGAAGCACAAGCTGGAATCAAGACTGCTGGGAGAAATATTAATAACCTCAGATATGCAGATGACACCACCCTTACAGCAGAAAGCGAAGCGGAACTAAAGAGCCTCTTGATGAAAGTGAAAGAGAAGAGTGAAAAAATTGGTTTAAAATTCAACTTTCAGAAAACTAAGATCATGGCATCTGGTCCCATCACTTCATGGCAAATAGACAGGGAAAACAGTAGAAACAGTGAGAGATTTTATTTTCTTGGGCTCCAAAATCACTACAGATGGTGACTGCAGCCATGGAATTAAAAGACGTTTGCTCCTTGGAAGAAAAGCTATGACAAACCTAGACAGCATATTAAAAAGTGGAGACATTACTTTGCCGACAAAAGTCCATCTAGTCAGAGTGAAAGTGAAAGTTGCTCAGTCATGTCTGATTCTTTGTGACCCCATGGACTATACAGTCAGTCCATGGAATTCTCCAGGCCAGAACACTGGAGTGGGTGGCCTTTCCCTTCTCCAGGGAATCTTCCCAACCTAGGGATCGAACCCAGATCTCCTGAAATGCTGCCGGATTCTTTACCAGCTGAGCCACCAGTGAAGCCCAAGAATACTGAAGTGGGTAGCCTATTTCTTCTCCAGCAGATCTTTCCAACCCAGGAATCGAACCAGGGTCTCCTTCATTGCAGGCAGATTCTTTACCAACTGAGCTACCAGGGAAGTCCCCATCTAGTCAAAGCTATGGTTTTTCCAGTAGTCATGTATGGATGTGAGAGTTGGACCTTAAAGAAAGCTGAGTACCGAAGAATTGATGCTTTTGAACCGTGATGTTGGAGAAGACTCTTGAGAGTCCTTTGGACTGCAAGGAGATCCAACCAGTCCATCCTAAAGGAGATCAGTCCTGAATATTCATTGAAAGGACTGATGCTGAAGCTGAAGCTCTAATACCTTGGCCACCTGATGTGAAGAACTGACCTGATGCTGGGAAAGATTGAAGGCAGGAGGAGAAGTGGACGACAGAGGATGAGTTGGTTGGATGGCATCACCAACTCGATGGACATGAGTTTGAGCAAGCTCCAGAAGTTGGTGATGGACAGGGAGGCCTGGCATGCTGCAGTCCATGGGGTCGCAAAGAGTTGGACACAACTGAGCAACTGAACTGAACTGAAACATTCATTTCTCTTTATTTTCCAAACTTCCTTTTGTTTTGTGAATTTTTTAGGCCCTAAACATTTTCAAAAGCCCTGGAAAATGCCCAGTTTCCCCCAGCTAGGGACTAGTGATGGAGTGTCTGGGAGCGTGAGGGCTGCAGATGTTGAATTCTGAATGTTCTACGGTTTGCAGGAGCTGAAGCGCATGGACCTGTGGGGGAAAAAGGATGAGGTTGTTTTCCAGCATCCTGTATTCAGACTGCAGAGGCCTTAATTTCATCCCTCATTTTAGAGAGGGGGGAAATCCAATGCCAAGGGGCTAAGGACACCCAGGAGGTCACCTATGAGCTAGAGGCAAATACTGGCCCAACATGGGCACTTTGCCTCCCTGGGGTCAGACGTGGAAGCAGGGAGGCTTTTCAGGTGTGCTGCGCTGAGTCGCTCAGTGGTGTCGGGCACTTTGTAGCCCCCATGGACTGTAGCCCGCCAGGCTGCTCTGTCTGTGGGATTCTCCAGGCAAGGATACTGGAGTGGGTCCATGCCCTCCTCCAGGGGATCTTCCCCGCCCAGGGCTCGAAGCCGGGTCCCTCGCACTGTAAGGCGGATTCTTGACCAGCTGAGCCACCAGGGAAGCCCTGGGGGCCACAGGGACTGTGACCGTTAAACCGGTGGGGGGCGGGGGGCGGTGTGGCAGCAGGGTCGGGTCCTGGGCTCCGCCCTGACCATCGGCCCCTTGTCGTCCCCACCTCCTCGCCAGGGGACCGCTCGGCACCTGGTACTTTTCCATAGGGTCTTGAGGGGAAGACTCGGCCTCCCTGTCCCTCTGCGGGGCGCTGGGGTGCACTCTGGCCCAAGCCGCAGTCGGACCCCGGACTGAGCATGCGCAGTGTGGTCCGCGTCCGGTGTGCGCCCATCCCCCACTCTGGGGTAACCCATCAGCCCCCGGGAGCTTGCCTGCCGACCCGGGCCCTCCCTGCCTGAACTGCGCCCGCTGCTACGTCCTTTCAGCAGGCCGGCCCTCAGGGGCGGGGCCTCGCCCGGGGAGGGCGGGGCCTGAACGCAGCGGGGAGGGCGGGGCCTGAGTGTGGCGGGCCGCGCGCGGCCCCTTTAAGGCGCGGCCGGGGCGGGCCCCGCGGCGCGGCCCCTTTAAGGGTTGGCCTACGTGGCAGCCGCTGGAGCCGCGGACGCGGAGCGAGGCCGGCCGCCGGGCACTTCCTGTGGAGGCCGCAGCGGGCGCGGGCGCCGACGGGCCGAGCGCCGAGGGAGCGAGCGAGCGAGCGAGCGAGCCGAGCGTCCCGCCGCCGCCATGGGCCAGAACGACCTGATGGGCACGGCCGAGGACTTCGCCGACCAGGTGCGGCCTGCGGGCCCGTCGGCCCGGAGCGCCCCCCTAACCCCGGCCCTCCTGTCGGGCCCCCGGCCTGGGTGCCCCCGGGGCCCCTCCCGTGCCCCGCGGAGCCGGCCCCTGGCCCCCGCGCCGCCCCGAGGCCTGGGCCGGGCCCCCCCGCCGATACCCCGCCGGGCTCGCTCCCCCTCCCCCAGCCGAGGCCCTGCCTCCTGGGCTCGCCGCCTGCCCGGCCGGGGGCACCCCCAAACTCGTCCTCGGGGGCCCAGCCCGCCCTTGCGCCGCCTGCGCGTCGGGGCGCCCTGGGTGTGTTCGCCGGGCCCGGGCTTCGGGCGCCCAGCTCTGTGGGCCTGTCCTCCCTGCCTGATCCGGCCCGGCTCGTCCTAGACGCCGAGGGGCGCCAGCGGCTGTCTCCGCGCCTCCCGAGAAGGGGCCTGAGGCCCCGGGGTGGGATGGGGGATGCTTGGGGAGCGTCCTCGCCTTTCTGCACCGCTGGGTCGTCCCTGCGCGTTTGTCCTTCCACTGGGCATTCTTAGGGGGCGGATCCTGAACAGGGGGGTTGGTCAGAATGGAGGCCTGAGGGGGTCCTCCCGGTGGAAAGGGGGGCGCCCTGGTAGGCACCCCCCCTGCAGAAAGCCACGGCACTGTTTCTTTGCTCTGTCCCAGACGTGTTGGGTTCGCGGGGTCCCTTTGACGCTTCCCTTCCATCTCCCTTCCCCGTCTGGACTCTGCCCCCCGTTGAAATGAATGGGTATCTGTGCACACAGCCGGGGGGAGGGGGACGCCTACCTTCCTGTTGGAGGAGCCCAGGAGTGTCCAGGCGGCATTCCTAGCAACAGGGAAGCGAGCCCTTGAAACAGGCCACTGAGTCACTGCTAAAGGTGCTCGGGATCTAGACGGACAGAACCAGGTCCTGCAGAGGGTCCTGCACCGTCTCATCGACCAAGCCTGGCCTGGAGACCATGGCGGCGATTCTTTAGCCGTGCACGTTTTACTTCTGAAAGTGTCCCGTTATGTCTACAGACCTGTAGGAAGAGCCGCGGCCGGCCCAACCGCCATGCTGTCTTTGGTTACTTAATGGGTGTGTGGCTTCATCGGAGTTAAAAGCAGTGAGGTTTAAGTTTCTGTTTTTATGGGGGTGGTTATCATTCATCGTGCTACAAGGCTGGGCTCCCTGGAAGAGGGTGTGTGTGTGTGTGTGTGTGTGTGTGATTTTTAAACAATAGTTAAGTGAGCTGTTTTCTAATCAGTTATTGGTGAACAAGATTTCCTGTCGCTCCCCTGACGGATGAGATCTCTCTAGCGTGGCCTCCCCGTTGGGTTCTCTCAGCCCCACTTTCCTGTGAGCTGCTTATGTTATAAAACAGTGTGGGGCTAAAACAGTCAACTTGAAGAAATGTTTTTCCCTCAGGTCATGATGTTGTGTTTACAATCTAAAAATTGTATCCCTTGCAAAAACAATTCGTATAGAAAGCTCTCAAAAACCAAGCCAGCCGGCTTTGTCCGCTTTCATTGACATGATTTTAGTGACCCAGTTTTGTTTCCCCAAGTAGCCGCCACCTAAGGAGACGGCTCCGTGCAGCCGTGGTAGCCGTAAGAGCCTCCTACAACTCTCTCTGCAGACCGGAAAAACCCCAGTTTTGCAAGTGAATTTCATAACTGAATCTAGATAAAATGTCTCCACTCAAGTTGCTGCCAACTATCAAATGATAAACCCTCCTCCTGCCAAAAAAAAAAAAAATCAGACTCTCTTTACGTAATCCTTTCTTTTTTTTCCCTCCATGCATTTTGTTTGCTTTAAATGAAAGCAGCAGAATCTTGGAACCGAAAGGCCCTCGAGGGGCGCATAGGATCAACCTGTACTGGTTTCACTGCTGAGGCTCCTGGGGCCACAGCCCTGGGCAAAGCCCAGTGTCACGCAAGATGCTTCTCATGCCTGGTGTTTTTCTGTAAGAGAGCACGCCGCCTAAAATCTGGGAAAACAAGGCTGCATCTGCCGGGCAGGGCAGGCTCCTGCGGTCAGTTTTTGAGGGCCAGAGCCCACCTTGGTGGTGACAGCTGTCCGCAGACACCTCCATGCCCTTCTGTGGGCGACTCGGGAGGGCGGGGCCAGGCTGTGCTGTAACCACCGAGGTTAGGAGCTGCTTCTGCCACCCGGCCTGGTGTGAGAGGAAGACATGGATGGGTGATGGGGCACAGGGCAAAAGCGACGGCTTCCTATGGACAGAATCTGGCTCGGCTGGGCTGGCGGTTTCGTTTTTGACGTTGATCCACATAGTGTCAAAACAGCTGCCAACAGTAAAGGTGCAGAAGGTCTGGACTTTTAAGACGAAAATGATCTCACTTAAAGGGATTGGGGAAATGTCATGAAAGTCACTGATGTGACCGATAAATATAAACATGACATATCTGTCTTTTCTAACCTCATCTTCAGAAAACAAAAGCAGAAATGAAGGGACAGAAAGTCGGCCACAAGTGAGCGGGGTCTCAGAAGGGCTGTGTGTCCCGAGAGCTACGACGGTAATCCGGAACCTCCAGTGCTCTGGCGCGGGGCCAGGTTGTCTGTGCACACTCGTGTTGACCGTGCACACTCGTGTTGCCCCAGGGTCCCGGGACTCGGGCCACAGTGCTTCCCTCTTCAGATGCAGAGAGGGAGGTCTGTGTGGTCTCGCGCGGCTCGTGGTGGGCCGTCACATTGAGTCAGCAAGCTGCAACCTTCCTTCGGGCCTGCAGAGGCATGAGTGTGGGTGAGTGGTCCGGCTCCTTGCGGCCAGCAGGCTCAGCTGCCTCTTTGGCATCAGGCTCCTTGCCCTGGGTGGCAGGGACAGCGTCCTCCTGCTGGAGAAAGTGCTGAGAGAGCTGTCTGCGGAAGCTGGCATTCGGAAGCCATCTGAGCCTGGGTCTGAAGGGGCCAGAGACTAATGAGCTCAGCAATCCAAAATGACGCCCGTCCCCTGCAGCTGGGACTCACGGCCAGGCTGCAGGCTGTGACTCCCAAGCACATTTGCCCCAGTAAGTAATATTAGCACTTAATGGGTTGTGTCACCAAGGTGACAGATAAGCTGCATGAGACCTTGCTGTCCGTGTGGCCTTTGGTATTTCCACCTGTCCTCTGGCAGGACAGAGCCAGTCCTGGGCGCTCTCACCTCCGGGAGCTCCCTTTGGCCTCTGGTCAAGCGCTGGGGAGCGGGGACGGCCCTGGCGGGACACTGAGCCGAGCCCCCGTAGCTCCCAGGTCTCGGGCTGGCCTTAACCCGTGTGGATCCCCGGTGTGGGTCGGGTTTGGGATGGTGCTGGGTGGCTTCTCCGTGTTCCATTCCTTTGTCATCCCTCCCCCACAGGGGCTTCCGGCCTCACACCAAAAAGGAGCGGGGAGAGGGCAGAGAGGAGCCGGCTGACTCACTCTCCCCTGTTCCGACCTCAGACAGGAGGTTCTGAGAAGGCCCCCTGCCTCCCTGCCTCTTGGGGAGCGGGTGGATTGCGGGGTGGGGGCGGCGGGGGCGGGGCTTCTCCCGGAAGGTCAGGAGCAGCCTGGCCCTGCTCCTCTCTCCTGGTGCTGTGTCCCATGTGGGCTTTCAGTAGGGAAGCCAGGCCATCTCTCCAGCCCAGGGCCAACCGCCACCTCTTTCTGGACCTCCAGGTGCTGCGTGGCCTTACAGAGCTCCCGGGGAGACTCGCTGGGGGCCCGGGGGTCCTGGTGTATGTGCCCCTGTGAGTCACTGGCCTCAGGTACCAGCCCTGACTCAGCCTGATGGGCCGGAGGTCCCTGGCTGCAGGCTTTAATCTTCTGGGGTGTGCAGGCTCAGAGCGGCCCTGGAGAAGGGCAGCCCCAGTTCTCAGGGTGCACGGGAGCCTGACCCACCTCTTGCCTCTGCCTGCAAGTTCTCATGAACCAAGAATTGTAGCCTGTTTTCCTCAAGTCCCTTTTGTCCTGAACACTCGGAGAGAGTAGGTTTCCCCGTGTTCTCTGGGAGCTGCAGGTGGCTGTGTGATGTGATGGCCGTGTCACAGAGCCATGTCCCAGCTTGGGTACAGCTGCCGCTTAAATCCCTGCTGCTCGGAAACCACAGCCCCTTGTACAGAAACCTCAGCTCCGTAGCTGAGCCCTCAGATGGGGTCCTGCTTAGGACCCATATGCCACACTTGACCGTGAGCTTCCTGCGAAAGGCCTGCCCCCCAGAGGGTGACAGGCCCTGCCCACTCAGCGTCTCCCTCCGGCCTTCCCATTGTGATCCTCTGCCCGACGCACGGCATGGGTGACCACTCTGGGTGCATGGGCCGCAGGCAGCCCCGGCCTCGGGACCCATGGTGTGTGCAGGAGGCCAGCTTAGTGTGAGCACTGGCCCGGTGGCCTCTGGGTGCCTGCTTCAGGGGCTCCCCTGCCATGCCGAGGGCACACTGTCTGCAGCAGCACAGTGTGGGTCCAGGGGCCAGACGCTGAG